CTCCAGATTTGGTTCAGTTACAGTTTGATGCAGGAAGCAGAACCCAAGACAGCCAATACAGAAATGACCTGTTTGTTTGTTTTTGTACTGGAAGCTTGCAGGCTAAAAACATCCAGATGTGCAGTGGAAGTCCAGACGGGTATTTTGTGACATGCTGCAGATTCTAAACACAACTAGAGCTTGAAAAAACAAAGGGATTGTTTCAGACTGAACATAATGGGTTTGACGTGTTGACATAGTTTGTGGCTATTCAGATGTTTGAGGAGAAAAGCTTCTGGATTTCTTGAAGTTTCTTGAAGACGTTTCATCTGAGAAGCTTCTTCAGTTCTAGGGTCAAATGGTGGAGAGTCCCAGATTTTAAGCCCTGTGGGAGTGTCCCCAAGAGGGTCATGGACCCCCTATTGATCCTCTGCCTAATCAAACGAGCCAAGGTGTGAAAACAGGTGTAGGTCACACTCAGCCAAGGTTTCAGGTGAACCCATCGTGAAACCTGGCCCCACCCTATCATGTGACTTATTGAGGTCAAAGGGCCCAGGATGTGAGTGGACGTTAAGGCGTCTCAGAACTGGATTATAGATGGCAGACAGTCCAGATGCTTTTCTTCCCAAGCTCCTTAGACTTCAATGACCTGGATGACTGAGAACCTTCACAGACAGATGTTCTTAACATTGACCCTGTATCATAAAGTGTTGTTCTGTCTTAGGTCCTGTCATGGATCCACAGAGAGAACCAAGCAGTGATCGCCCGCTGCAGTCAGCCTCTCGTTGGCATGTCTGGTAAAAGGAACAAGGACGATGAACGCTACCTGGAGCTGATTAGGGAGGCAAATGATACCACCAAGCTCACCATATACGACGCCCGTCCCAATGTCAACGCAGTTGCCAACAAGGTCAGAAGGAAAAGAAAACATCAGCGTAATCCACGGGCATCATTTGCAACATTTATCATTAACTACTAATTTAATCAAATTTAAGACGGTACATCCAAAAACTATTCATAGCACTTCACCTGTGTACACCATATATACACTGCCAGTCAAAGGTTTGGACACACCTTCTCATTTAATGGTTTTTCTTTATTTTTTACTACTTTCTAAATTGTAGATACAAACTGAAGACATCAAATATATGAAGCAAGATATATGGGATTATGTAGTAAAGACAAAAGTGATAAATATGTTTTATAATTTAGGTTCCAGCCTTTGCTTTGTTGGCAGCGCTGCAAACCCTCGGCCTTCTCTCAGTGAGCTTCATGATGGGGTCACCTGACGTGTTTCCCCTCACAGGTGAGCCTGTCAGGGCTCATTTGTGGAATTTCTTGCCTTCTTAATGAGGTTGGGACCATCAGGTGTGTTTGC